TGTACGAGGCTTTAAATTATTACTTATATTATTACTTAAAGATTGTTTGTTTGGTGTTAAATTTGCTTGAATAACAATAAGAAGATTTTGATATAATTCCTCTGAAGACAAGTTTATTCTTTTGCTTCCTTCTACCTTTGTTTTACAAAAAAAAAATTTGTCACATTCGACACCTAAGATCATGCGATAAAAATTAAGTTGAGCTAGGAGTACTTTTGATTTCAATGGCTCTTCTATATAAAAAACTGTTTTCTCTGCTTCCTCTAATAATATCCAAGCCCTTACATTTAAATTTATCAAATCATTACAAGCTGCAATCTTTTTATGTTGTAGTTTAATTTCTTCTCGATTTTTTTCTTCTTGCTTTGCTAGAAAGTGCATAGCTTTATCTTTTTTAAGAGCTTCTTTTCTTTCATCATATTTGCTTTTCATTAATGTTACTTTAGTTCTTGAATAGTCAAGCAATTGTTTTCTTTCTTCATCTGATTTAACATTAAGCCATTCTAATGTTTGGTTCTGAGACCACATTGTCAAAGCCTGGGTAGTTTGAACATTTGCATTGGGTTTTGTGCGAACCATTAAATCCAAAATGGCCAAGTCGCTTTCTGATGCTTTATTAGTGACAGGGACATTAGAAGCAGCTTCAGAAACAGAATTAGATGGATTCCAATATTTACCACCTGGTAACTGATCAGCACACTGACGTTCCAAAATAACAAGAATCGCATGGAAAATAATTTCAAGTGATTGAACAGTTAAAGAATCAAACTCATCATTTTGAGTGCATTCAAACAGCTTGGTGTAAACCACATCTTGATGAAGAAGATTGGTATCCTCAAAAATTTTTCCATTAGCAAACAATAAAGAAGACGCATCGATACAAAGAGATGAAAGTCTAACTTTCAAGCAAAGTAGGTAGGGGTTTAAAAATAATATACTATCAAGTGATTCGATAATTCTCCATTGTTTTGGACCAGTAAGTAGTTTGTCAATAATACCTAATGCACGGACTTCAGCAATGAATACAAGATTTGTGATATCTTCCTTAATTGCTTTTAATAAATTATTAGGTTTAGGCCAAGCATTAAGAAATTCTGTTATAGAATCCTTATGATAGTATAGGGCAGCTGCATTTCAATACAAAATATCAAATCGATTTCCAATAAATGGAACAAAATAAGATTTATTGTTACGAGAGGAAAGAAAAGAATTAAACCATGATGCAACACCAGCTTCCTCACTACCCCTTGAATGAAATGCCTTACATGTAGTACGAACTAACCGTACAGCACCACATTCTTTACCACTAAAAGCAAAAACAGTTTCAAAATCATTTTGAAGCAGAATTTTTTCAAAAGAATTTAAAACTTTATCAGTTTCAGAAGCAAAATTAGCGAGCAAATGAAGTTTACAGAAAAAATTACTCATGTCCTTCATATTGTCTTTGACGTTTGAGGAAAGAAAGTCCCAGTTACTAATTGCAATAGGCAAAAGTTTTTTCCTTAATGTTTTTAACTGTGAGTTAAAAAGAGGATTAACCGAAGAAAGATTAGACATTGTTGATTTTATTGATGTTATTAGTTTAGCAAAATTAATTTCTTTTTCAGTAACTGAGTTGCTAACAACGTCACAAATGTCATCTACTATATTAGTAAAGTTTTGCAAAACAGTTGCTGCATCTTTGCCAACCACTTCTGACAGACCAAAAGATAAAGTTTTCCCACTAGTTGTAGTAATTTGAAAGTTTTGATAATGCTTATGGTATTTCTGAGTACCATCACCATGCAAACAATTGCCTATTTTAGAGTTTTTATTTATCAAATTATTTTTAAGTATTGCTTCTTCAACTTGAAATTGACCTAAAATTGAAGCTTCCTGCATTAACCTACATTTTACAGCGGCTGATGGCAGTCTAGATATGTTCTTTTTGGCTAGTTTGTTTAAAACTACTTTTATGACTTCATTGACACTATCCATACTCACGTTCATTGAAAGAAGTTTCATTATTGTTTCTCGAATGTCATCACTGTATCTGCCATCTTCAAATGTTATTACTTCGTCATCATCCAGCAAAGAAACCAATTTTTGAAGTTCTAGATTCTTCATTTTTAAAATGTTTGTCTTACTATATAACGAAACAACTTCCTTCTCTAAACTTATAACATCTTTCATATTGTTGTCATTATTATAGTTGGTTTTATTTTGCAAAATAATTTTTAAATTACTCACTTTTTTTTGCAGCTTTATTTTTTCGTTTTTTAATTCAGAAATTTTTATATCTGAGTTTTCAAGAATTGAATTAATATCTGTTATTTTATTTTTCAATTGCAATAATTTTTTTTTTTCTTCATTTTTCAACGAATTTATTTTATTCTTTTTTATTTCCAGCTGAGTATCACGATATTTAATTTTTTTATTCAAGTTTCTAACATTAAATGATTCTTTTTTTGACTTTAATAGCTCTAATTTGTTTTCAAAATTTTTAAGCTTTTCTTCTTTTTCACAATAACACTTTTTAATAAAGTTTAATTCAGCTTCTATTAGAGAGTTTTTCGAAATAAGTATTTTAAGATTGTTTGACATATCTTCAAAATCTTTTAGATGTGTAAAATAATCCATTTGTAAATCCATCATAGATTCCATTTTCCTTTTTAAAATTTTATTTTCTTTTTTAAGCATTTTGTTTTCGCTTATCAGTATTGTTTCTTTAGAAATTTCTGATGCACTCACTGTATTATCAGAAAAATTTGCCACAGGTGGAAAAAAGGCTTTACCTAATAACAATGCTAATTTTTTATTTTTTCGTTGTTTCTTTAATTTTCTGATGGTGTCAACTAATCTATTTATTTTTTTGGCTAAAGCTTTCTTGCAGTAGAACAGTTCAACTTTAAAATCCAAACAATATCTACAATACATTGCATCATAAGATGTATCTTTTAAAGCCAAATACCGATCATAAATACTTTCATTTATCATTTTATCTAAATAAATAAAGATTTTCCAGTCATCAATTCGAACAAATATATAAACATATAAATATATTATTTCAAAGTCTTTTACTTATTATATATATATATATATATATATATATATATATATATATATATATATATATATATATATATATATATATATATATATATATATATATATATATATATATATATATATATATATATATATATATATATATATATATATATATATATATATATATATATATATATATATATATATATATATATATATATATATATATATGTATATATATATATATAAACTTAAAAATTAAGTAAATTGTATAAAAAGAAAATTGCTAAGTTACAAATTAGACTTACTGATAAACTGCTGAGATTCATTTACTTGTTGGTTAGCAAAAACCACATTAACAACACAAAACAAACTCACTTTAGAATACCTTAAGTTAAAATTTACAATAAAATCTCAGCTATATAAAATATAGATTCAACGTGTGCAAAAATCTTTTCTCAAGTAAAAGAGAAACGGCAAATTTACCAAAAATATCTAAAGACGGGGGAAATTATAATAATCTTTACTTAGAAAACAAAAAACCCACCCTATTAGACAACAAAAAAAAAAAAAAAAAAAACTTGTTCACTTAATAAATAAATAGTTGCAGAACTTATTTTTACGTGGGGACGAAAGAGTTATTTTAATTTACTTGCATTTTAACAAAACTGAAAGATTTAAAACTAAATAACTTTATCAATTCTAAACCAAAACGTCGACCCAAAGAAATTATTGTAGTACAACCTTTTCTAAAAAAAATAACATCTACATGTACGTATATAATATTTATTTTCATGGGTGGGTTTTTATTCTTCAAAACCTACATAAAATCATTTCTGGCGTTTTTTGGACAAAAATATATTAACGATTTTTTTCCGCGATAAAATGTCACGTGACAAAACTCCCTACTAAGTGGTTAATCTATAAACTTTTTTAAAAAAATATTTTTTAATATAAACTTTACAAATTTTTATTAAATTACTCAAAACAAAATAATTGACTACAAAATTGTTAACTATTTGCTTTAACAAAAATATTAGATGGAATCATCGTATTTGAGCTAATGTGGCCCAAGTTTATTGTTTTTTTTTCCTAAAAAGTACTATTTTTAAGATGAGATATTCCTATCGGCACATCTAGTTTTTTTTTCGGAAATAAAACCTATATAGACACGTGTTTTTCACGATCCAGGCGTAAACCAAAAGCACGTGTATTTTACGGGTAGTTTTACTAGAGTTTAATACGTGTTTTTTGAGGTTTTAAAGTCAAATTTAAATGTCGCATATTTTTATCATTGGTTTCACATTCCTTACGGAAAGTCATTACAATATGATACTACGTTTCCATAACTGTGAAACCATTAATACTTTAACTGGTATTAATGGTAAATAGTAATAGTTAATTTCACGGAATAAAAACCATTTTTGATACGTGTTATTCTTTTTATTTTAGAAGGTTTTAAAAACGCAACAGAAACCAAGCGTAACTCTTTTCTGAGTTGTGCCGGCTGGGATAGTTTAAGTAGAAAAAAATTTTGAAACAATTTTTCTTATTTTTTCATAGCTATATAAACTATATAAAAAGTTTTGTATTGAAATAAAAAATATTTTGAACATCCTTATTTCAGTTAGAAACACTGAACACGCCTTTTACACTTTTAGAATTGTTGTTTACATTCAAAAATATAAAATCACTAAATGTTTATAAGGTTAATTTTATCGTATTTGTGGTTTGTAAAAATGACCAATCACAATTTTATAAAAAAAAAAAGTCATCTTAATTAAATATTAAAAAATAAGTATGCCACTCAAATAACTATATCTAGATGGTTTATATTTTTTAGTGTTACATTTTAGAAGGGTCAGTAATGTTTATTCCAAATACATCAACCACGTGGTGTTTGATACTTTACACTTAATTTATTTTGCAACTTAACATTTCACACAAATCATATTGACTTTTATTTATAAACAGGAGTTTGTTTTATTATGACTCCGTTTAACTAAATGTGATAATCCTTAAGAATTTTTCTTTAGTTTGCCTATGACGTCAGTTATCAAGCACATGTTAATCAAAAATATAGTACGTGGCATGGGTTCTATAGGAAGCCGCGTCTACAATTATTTTTTTCACTAAATACAAGATGTTTTTCAGAGCTTTTGAACAAACAAAAACAAAGTTTATATATTTTAAAAGTGTTAAACACGTTTTATTTTTACAGAGTACTTGTTGCAAAGATAGAGAATAAGTTGAATGAGAAGAGAATCAACCTTTAAAAAACAAACTTTAATTTCACTTCACTTAAATCAGGCCTGCCATAAAAACACATAAAATTAATTTTGTTCCGTAATTTATGTAGATAATAAGCAGCAATTTTAGTTAAGAACCAAAATGAAAGCATTAATAAATCAAAAGGTAAGATTCTTTCAATTTATCAATTAACGCTTGTAATTCTTTCCAATAGGGAAAAAAAAAAATTTTCGTTTTTTTTTATTCATAACAAACTCTGCGTATTAGAACGCGCAATAACTTGTTTTGATTTTTAATATAAAACCTTACCTTGTTTTGATTTATAAAATAAAAATAATTAGATTAGATAGATGATTTTCCTTTATTAGTAGTAACTAGTTATTTAGAAAGCTAAATATATTACTGATTTATGCTATACTTCATTTTTTTTTTATATAAGTAAAAAAAGATACTTAATCTTTTTTTCTATAACAAAAAGGTGTTATTCTATTTTTAGATAAAGTTGTAGAAAATTGTTAATTTTGCATTTCGTTGCAAAATTTACAATGTTCTACAACTTATGTTAGCTGTATTCATCAACAAAGAATCACATTACTACTCAGCAAAGAAACATCAGTAATCCACAAAAAAGAAACATCTAAAAACAATTTTAAAAGACGAATAATTTATTCTTTATTGGTAGTTCGGCTGTTGTATGTTTATATAACAAATCCTGAAATCGCTTTTGTAAGTATGCGTTAATGATTTTTATTAAAATTTAAAAAAAAAATGATAAAGGAGCGTGTTACAACACGCTCCTTTGTCATTGCCGTCGAAAACAACAAAGGACGTGTCTTATATTGTTTCAAACTTCTTGAAAGTCGAATCAAAATATGTTAGTTTAAGCTATAAAAACTTGACAAGAAAATTTAATAGACAACTCGAAATATTTTAGAAGCTTTTTGTAATTTTTTAAGTAGTACTTTTAGAAGTAATTTTTAAGTGTTTCAAGTCTTGATTTTATATTTTTTTTTATAAAAACATATTTAAAAAGAATACTTTTGTTATTCCTTTCTTGATACAGGCAAATATAAAATAAACTCTATTCTCGCATTTTTTTTTTTTTTTTTTTTTGTTTGTTTTTGATTATTCAAATAATTCTCGAACCAGGACAAGTTAGTATTTTTTATACCATAACTTTTGAGTGTTATTAGAAGGATTTAATGATTGACTATATCGAAAGATTTACTTAAATCAATTGAAAGGCCTAGGGTATATTTGCCTTCATCAAACAATTTAAATATGTCCTGAACAAGGTGAATGATTGCATGAATGGTGGAACGGCCAGATTTGAATCCAAATTGTTTATGGTAAAGAATATAATTAACATTTAAAAAAGAATAAATCCTATTATACCTAACTCACTCTAATATTTTAGAAAAAAAATTAAGAATTGAGATCGTCTGATTTTAAAATTGGAATGATTTTTGCGATTTTTAGGTTTTCTAGAAAAACACCATGCTTTAAAGATAAATTAAAAATATGTAATAATGGAATTGTGATGTATTTCATCGATTTAATAACAACATTACTACTTATAGCATCGAAACCTACGCTTTTATTGGGCTTTAAAAAAGAGACTCCGTTTAATATTTTTTTTTTCATAAGTTTAGGATCAGACATAACACTAATGTTGTTTAAGGTAACGTAAGACTTAAAGTGTATTTGAGAAGTTGCTATATATGATGATAAAATAGGACCAATATTTACAAAAAACTGATAAGTGTTTTAGCCACTAAGGATTTATTTACAACACAATTGTTATTAACTTGAAGATTATTCAGAAGTAAATTTCCGTATAAACGTTTTTTACCGATTACTTTCTTTATAATTTGCCATGTTTTTTTGAATCATTTTTGTGTTTAATTAATTGTTCCGAATAGTAATGTTTCTTTGAGCGTTTTAAAATTGATTCATATAGCCGTTTTTAGTTTTTGTAATTATTTTCACTTTCAAGATTTTTTTTTAAGAAACTTGTTATATAAACTTTTTTCTTTTTGTTTTTTTTTTTGAGGATTTAAGAATGCCCCTTGTGATCCAAGGGTTTAAAAGTGTTTTTGTTTTGAAAACTTTAGTTACTTCCGGGAATGATTTATTATAAAGATAAAGAAATTCAGTTAAAAAGATATAATATGCTTTATCAGCATTTAGATTTAGTTGAAGGGTGTCCCAGTTGACTCGAGTTAGAAGTTTATGAATATTTTTGATTGAAGCGTCGTTTATTAACCGTGTTTTTATTAATTATTTTCTATCACTAAGGACATCAGGGTTGTTGCATTTTTGCGATAAAATAAAAATAAGAATGTGATCAGAAATGTCAGATTTAAATATACCAGTTCTTATTTTGATATTTACAAAGTCATTTGTAATAATTTGATCTAAAGATGTTGCACTTTCTCTACTTATTCGCGTTGGTTTGTTTATTAGGGGAATATAAATATTTTGAAAAATTGTATTAAAGAAGTTCTTAATGTTTTTTTTTTGTTGTTTTTTTGCCGTATTCTAATATATAAAGGTGAGTTTCCACTCATCCGTTTTTCTACGGGAAAGGGAAAGGGAACGGAAAAATAATCACGTGAGCATGCGCAGTTTTTTTTCGGACAAATAAAAACTCTTATTACGCATGCTCACGTGATTATTTTTTTCCTTCCTATCCCGTTCCCGTTGAAAAACGGATGAGTGGAAACTCGCCTTTAAGATTGATTTCACCAACAATATGAACCGATTTATTTAAAGATGATTTTTTTTTTAATTATATTTTTAATGTGATTTTCAAATGCCTTAATACTTCCTGTGGGCGGTCTAAATAGACGTTATTTCTTGATGTTTTGTTAATAATTCAACGCATAAAGATTCATAATCATTAGAGGTTGAACTTAACTGTGGTTTCCTATTGAATAAAATTGAATTTTTTATGTATATACACAAACCTCCGCCTACTTAATTTGATGCTATAACTTGATGAATTACTTTATAATTAGGTAATTGAAAATTGTAATTGTTTTTAATGTTTACATCGTGACACCATGTCTCGCTGAGACAAATTACCTGAAATCTAATGTCAATTTTATGTAAAAATTGTTTTAACGACTCAAAATATATTTGTGTACTTCTAATATTAATGTGAAACATTGAAAACGAATTATCTTCCATTCCTTTATCAATATTTTTTGAATTTGGGTTACAGTACATAGGGCTAGTATTTTTAATTACTTGACTATCGTTAAAAAGATTATAATCGGGATCCGAATAGTTGTTTAAAATTATTGACTTTTTTTGTGAATTAAATTTATGTTTGATAAAACAATATTATCAGCCATTTTAAATATAAAATATATCAATATAAATTTAACTATCAAAAAAATAATATTATAAAAAAAAAAATTATTAAAAAATTTTTTTTCGAAATTTTTTAGCAATGAGCTTATCATATATAACAACAAAATATTTACCGTTTATCCTATGCGTTTTGCTTTCTTCAAGGAGTTTCTGTCTTATTATAGTAGTTTCCAGCAAAAAATCCTCGTTAATATAAACCTTTTAGATTGTTAGCGTTTTTTTAAATCTTTACTTTGTCTTTGTAATTTAGTAACTTAATTACATTTGTTCTAGGCTTTTTATTGCCAATAATACCAGTTCTGTGCGCTCTTTCTATGATTACATCTTTTACATTGAGGTTATTTTCAAGAAGGTTTATTATATTCACTTCCGTATCGTCCCAGTTTTTGTTTTCATTTTCTTTGACTCCTTCGATTTGAAGATTATTTCTCCTTTGACAATCTTCTAGTTGTCTAAATCTATTTTTTTCATTCTCCTCTATGGTTGCATTCGACCATTTTTTTTTTTTCCACATCACTGACTTTTTTATCATTTATCTTTTTTTTTTTCCAAATTGCTGACTTTTTATCATGGCAATCATGAAAGAATGTTAGACTTTCTTTAATGTCTTTTTGTATTTTTTCATACTTTATCATCTGCTTTTTTGTTTTTTTAATATCGGTATTTCGGTTTTCATTTTCCTTTTTTAAAACTTTACAAATATTTTTTAATGTATTAATTTCTTTTAGCAATCCATCGATTCGACAGTTAGCCTGTTTTAAATTTGCACTTATTAACGCTAATATAACTTTTTGTTTTTTTTTTGGAACATTTCTTGAAATATTTCATGAAATAGTTTTATTGAGACTTCATTGTTAAGTTTTGAACTTTTGAACTTGTTAAGATTTGAAAATAAATAAATAAATAAATAAATTAAACTTGCAATATCAATTTTTTTTTTTTTTTTTTTTTTGGAGCAAAAGCACGTCATGTATGATATTCTCTATATAAAAAAGATATTTTTTTGTATATATACAATATCATATACGGTGTTAAGTAATAATTTGATTTCATATAAGATATAAATTTAAAAGGTGTAAAACTGATGAGCGGGAAAAACACTTAAGAAAACTCTTTGAACTTTAATTAAATTTGGTTTTAAACAAAAAATAAGCAAATTTCATAAAAAAACATACAAATAAACAAATTTCAGTTTTAAAATGTCGTATCAAACTCAAAAGTTTGAACATGAGTATTAATTTTTTAAATTTTGTTATAGCACCGGTGTAAAAATTATTTTATAAAAAAACTTACAACGGAATTATAGAAAAAGTTTTGGGTAAAGCTGAGCACTAGTAATTTTCATATTTAGCAATTATTTGCATCTAGTTAATTGATAAACTTTTTAACAATTCTCTTTTAATATCACAATTATTTCCTATTCTTTATTATAATTTTCATATAACAAGTTTCTGTACAAATCTAAATAAATTTAAACAAATTTTAAATATTCAAAATCACTTAAAAGTTTATGGAGTTAATCTTTTTTGTAAAATTAACAAAAATTTACAAAATGTTTAATTAATTTAGTTAACTTTAACCGGTAATCCAAAGGGAAATAATTATTAAGTTCACTTTTATCTGCAATTACTTAAGTGTGATTGCAAAAACAAAATTTTCAATTGCAGATAGACGCCTAATTGTCCTGGTTAAAATATGGACAAGTGGCATCAAGGAGTACATTCCTAATATATATCAGAAAAATAAATAAGGAATCAGTTATATCTTATATATATATATAGATATATATATATATATATATATATATATATATATATATATTTATATATATATATATATATATATATATATATATATATATATATATATATATATATATATATATATATATATATATATATATATATATATATATATATATATATATATATATATATATACATATATAGATATATATATATAGATATATATATATATATATATATATATATATATATATATATATATATATATATATATATATATATATATATATATATATATATATATACAAAACTATTAATATAAAATTGTAAAAATGTGTTATATATTTTAAACTCCCTAGCTATAATAGATCTTTTTAATCTGTTAAGCTGGTATCGCGATGAGGGTTTAATAATCAGGGGCGGATCTAGGGTACGTCTAGTACGTCTGTAGACGTACCCAAAAATAAAAATAAATCTAAAAAAAAAAAGTTTTTATATTATTTCAATATTGTATATAAAAATAATTTTTTTTAGTTTAACCGTTAAGAGAATTAAATTTAAGTTTTATTACCTTTATACAAACAGTTATTTAAAAAAAAAAAAAATTCGCTGCTTGTTTTGAGTAATTAAAGT